CCAGCTATTGCCAGGGGCTTCTCAGCTATTTTTAAAATACTCAGGGACAGAGGGGACTAGTTATAACCTATATTGCATCTCTTTTCCAGTTAACTCTCATCCAAAAGAGCAAGACTTTAACCTGTCCCTATCTTGATGTTTGCCTATCAATACAACACAATAATTCCAGATGTTCCTAGAAGCTTACAAGACAAGGGAACATAGAGGGCTTCCATACATCAAAAGCAAATTCTGGTTTATATAGCCTATTAACAACAACTGTCAAGAATAGGTTTTTCCAGCTATACTTGGAGTTGCCAAGGACTGAACCTGGGACCTTCTGCATACATATCACATGTTGTACCATGCTATACTCCAGTGGTGGGATTCAAAAATTTTTCTACCGGTTCTATGGGCGTGACTTATTTGGTGGGTGTGGCTTAGGGTCATGGGACTGGGTGGGTGTGGCTTGGTGGCCATGTGATGGGGTGGTCGTGTGACTGGGTGATCATGTGATTGGGTGGTGTGGCCAACGCAATGTCACTCATGTCAAGGGATGCCTTGTCTGACCCTCCCCTCCCAGCCATTCTTTTTCACACCCAGCCTCAACTTATCTATAGTTCTGTAAAAATGTTGTTCACCTTTTTTGACTTTATTATCTGCATACTATAGATATACTTTCATGGACCACTGAAAGGAGGAAATGGCTCACATGCTTTGCCCAAGAGGGTGATAGGCAACAGGCTTTTAGGGGGCTGCCAGAAAGAGGGGAGGGCAATGTATTTACCAAAGCACCAGAAGGATGGAAACTGAACACAGAGAGAAGCAACCTAAAAGTAAGGAGAAACTTCCTGACAGTGAGAACAATTAACCAGTGGAATTGCTTGCCACCAGAAGTTCTGGGTGCTCCAACACTGGAAGTTTTTAATGAAAGACTGGGCAGCCATTTCTCTGAAATGGTATTGAGTTCCCCCCAAAGGTCCCTTCTAAGTGTTATTCTGTTATTCTGACACCTTCCTCAGGACTTCTATTCAGATTTTGGCATCCTCAGAGTTTTCCTGCCTGAGCAGGGGGTTGGAATAGAATACCTCCAAGGTCCCTTTCAACTCTGTTAAACGCACCTGTATTTATGCTCTGGACTATTGACATGCAAACCCTGAAAAATACCTGGGCAAAAGAAAGGCAGTAAAATCACTTTAGGTGTAGGGACAGTGCAAAATATTAATATATGATAAATAATGGAACAATTAAAAATAATAGCACAGAGTATTCTCTCTCCCCCTTCCTTCTTCTTCTTTTCTTTCTCTCTCTTTCTCCCCTTTCCTCTTTCTTTCTTTCTCTCTTTCTCGCCCTTTCTCTTTCTTTCTTTCTTTCTTTCTTTCTTTCTTTCTTTCTTTCTTTCT